CCTTGGTTCCTGTCATTTTTGACAGGGACCAAGGGCAGATAAATATTAATTTTCTAAATCTTTTAGAGGCCCCATGGGCTGGATAGAATGACCTCACAGGCATCCAGCCCACGGGCCATATTTTGCCCACCCCTGGGTTAGAGGGCCACTATCAGACAACTTCTCTGGTTTTGTTTTAACCTACAGTTTGTCACTATGCGCACTTACACACATGCAGGGAATCTACTCCAATGCTCTGAAAACCCAGTGAATTGGAGCAGACTCAATTAGTGCAGGTCAGCACTGAAAAAATGGCGGCAGTACGCTTTGAACTAAAACACGTCCCTTTGCGGGGGGCTTCAGGCAAGGAGGGCAGGCAGGATTGTGTCAGGTCAGACTTCAGGGCAGCAGCTTGGCTGCTTTCCTAACACCATTCCCAACGCCCTCCCTCCTTTTTTTTTAAAGGAAAACAGGTAAGAGGCAGCAAGGGGGAGATGACAGGTTCATTTGAGAAACAAGAAAATGGTAACTGAGGTGAAGTAAATCTGACAAGGTGTGGGGCTAAGATGAACACGGGGTATCATGGTAAACTGCCCCAAGAAGGCCGGAAAATAAGAGCAAGGAAGACCTCTACTGTCCTTCCCACCCCCGGCGCTGGTGGGAGGGTTCCAGCCCACGTGACCTCCCCCTGCCACCCCGCTCTCACCATCTCGCCGCCACGCGCAGCAACCGGCGCCCAGTGTTTACATCGCCCCTCCGTTACCCCGGCAACCGGCCCTGCCCGCCTGCCCTTGCCTCCCCGTAGATTTCCCAGGGGTCGGCACGCTCCTGCCGTAAAGACGTAAAGAAAGCAGGTGCCGTAAAACGTACTCCGCTGGGGCTGGGCGGCCGTGGCAGGTGAGGTACGGATCCGGGCTCACTTTTCGGCGTGAGGTGCGTCGGGACGCTCGTGCTCTGGCACCCCACCCCCCACCACGCCAACGGCCTGTCCGCGCGGTAGGGCACGAAGGGCGCTCACCGGGCCGGGGAATGGGAGCTTCGGCCCGGCCCGGCCTCTCCCTCCGCCGCCTGCGCCGCGCGAGCCTGGCCCCAGCCAGCGGGAGGGCCCGGCCAGGCGGGCCGTGTGCGTGTCACGTCTCAACGCGCACCGTCATACCGGTACATAGGTCCACGGACTCACGTGTACCTAAGTAGAGACAGAGGTACAGAGAGAGAGCTAGGCAGATAACGTTCTCTGTGCATGTGTATCTGTTTATGCATGTATGTGTATATACATACACAAATTTGTATAAAAATATATTTACACTTAATATATTCGTATATACATGCATTTATATTTATGTAATACACAAATGTGTTTACATGTATATGTAGGTACACATGTAAATATGTAGAAGCAGATTTGTGTACGTATGTGTCTACAGATATAAGTCATTGAGAAGATAACATTCTCTCTTTCTCTCTGTATCTCTCTTTGTACTTTGGTTACTCTCTATGGTACATATCTGTCCTGCCTTTTTCTGCAGTTTATGCCTCCCGCACAGTTGGTGCAGTAAAAGACCATCTGTCCCCAAATCCTGGGTCTGTTGCCTCTTCCCTTCCCTGCCCAGAGCCCAGATGCTCCCGCATGAGTAATCAAATGGCTTCAGCCCATCCATGGTGCCAGGTCTTGGCACTGGATTTTAAAAAGGGCCTGTGCAACTTGCAAGGTGTGTGGTCACCAGAGATCCTGGTTTTCTCAGATTTAAAAAAATCCCCATTTTTCAGTTAAAAAAGTAACCCCAAATCTATTTTTCCATGATTAAAATGAAACACCACTAGATTGATTTATTTTCATTTAAATCACAGAAAATGTGGATTTGGGGTTACCTTTTTTAAACTGAAAATTGGGGATTTTTTTAAATCGGAGAAAACCAGGATCCCTGGTGGTCACTCACTCTCTGTTGCTTATGATGATGATTTTATGAGAACTGACTTAGTACCCAAGTGGATACTTTAAAAATATAATTTGGCAATTATATATATCTCAGACATTCAAATATGTTAATGTATAAATAGATTTTTAAAATATACATATTGGCAGGATATTTCAGGATCTGAATGAGGACGGTGGCTCTTGAATTCCACAGTGCAGTTTTTCCCAAACAGCTGACCGGGCGGGGGGGGGGGGGGGGTTTGAAAATTTGGAAATCAGACTTGACTTTTGCCTTGTAACTTAGTTCGTAATACCATGCTTGCACAGTTTAGGATTTTTGTTTCCCCCAGAAAATTCTTATTCATAGCCATAGGAAGGGTTCATAGGATTCGTTCCAAAAACTTCCAAGAACTTCCTTTTTCTTTGTAAAGCTCTTTCTTTTTGTGTTGCTAAGCTAGGAACGACATCAGGGCATTTTCCTGAACTCCTCCCTCTCTCCTGCCCCCCACAAAAAAGTAGTACCTGAAAGCATAGTGTACTAGAAGTTGTAGAAGATGTACGTATTTACCCTCCACTTTATGCTTATAATGATCTAAGATAAGGCTATAATGAAGGAATAAAGGTTATAATGGAAGAAATGGTTTCAGTTTAACTAAATATATGAAGGAGTAACATTTTCTGTGCCAGTAAATGAAGACAAAGTGGGGTAATGAGGGGGTAGGGCTAATTAAGTTTTAGTAATTTATTTCTTGCATATATAAGGCTCTTTAGCCTGCTCTGTAGCTCAGTAATAGCTAAATAAAATGCGTAGAAATAGAATATGCTCTGGCATCTGTCTTCTCGTGCAGTCCCTGTGCTCTTTATACAAACCTTTTCATAATACAAATGGACAGATTTGTTATAAGAATTAAACTCAAAATATAAAGTTTGTTAACCATATGCTCAGCTCTTTTCTAGTTACAGCTGATTTGTCATCTGTGACTGGATACCAAAGCAAAGTAAAACATGTAAGACTGTCTGAAGAGGCTTTTTAGTTCAGCTGTTTTCACTCTTGCATCTCAGCAGTATGATTTACACAAAAACATTACCATGCTTCCATATATAAAAGAAAACTTCACTTCCTGTAGAGGGTTTCAGAATTATGACAGAGCCACGGTACTTGAAAGAACAGCAATAATCCAAGAAGTGAATTGGAATATATACAACCTGCCTACTTGCAACTAATAGATATCTATGTAGAGAAACAACATTATGAGCTAGCAAGTTCACACATTGATTTATGTATGGGGTTTTTTCTAGCCTAATAAATGTAAGCACCACTTCTATCTGAAAATAAATTATTTATCTTTATTTCAGAAGTTGTCTGTATTTAAAATAGCGAACGTGAATGGAAACTAGTTCAACATAACAGGTACTTACGATAGAGAGGCAGTTAGCCACATTAGTCTGCAATCAGGCAGAAGGCAGGGTAGAGATTCACCTTATACATTAACTAAATCAGAGATACATGAGCAAGAGTTCACTTCATCAGGTACTTGGGGCAGTATCGTAAGTTAGTAATAGGCTAGTTGAGCAGAGCCAAAAGACCAACTAGAAATTGTGTCCCATTTTGCTAAACAATATACAAACATAGAGCAGAATGTGGTCCCTGCTCACGTGCTTATAATGTAAATGGCATGAATAGATATGAGCAATGCGATGGTGACAGATGTACCAGTTCGGGGAAGCCTCGGGAGAGAGTTTCTATTTAGAAGGGGATAAGCTGAATGGAAATAAAAATTCAGGGGAGAAGAGTAGTGGGGCAGGCCATGGGAAAAGGGGCCAGGAACAAACAGCTAATCATAACAGGGCAGAGGAAAATCCAGTCAGAACTCTAGAAAGTAATTAACCATTAATTGTTTAACCACAGTCACATATTGAAGTTCATGGAGGTTAATATTGAACTGATTATTCTTCAGGTAAATAATCACACAGGAATAAAGTGGCTATCTATGTTCAGTGAAACATGAAAATGGCCAGTCCTTTAAGAGGGGAAGTACTGAATCTTTACAAAAATGTAAGTCTCCTCAATACCACTAGCACTTTCCTTGTCAAAATAAAACACTTTTGCCATGTACTCAGTTTAAAATGCTTGTATTTTTGTTTTTTTTAAAGCTGCTGCACCTGGGAAGGGAATATCCCAAAGGAGCAGACTACTTTAGAAGCCGTTTGAAGGCAGCTTTCCTAAAAAATAAGGACGTGAAAGATCCTGAACAAATTAAACAACTAATTGCACAAGGAGAATTTGTTATAAAAGAGTTAGAGGCCCTGTACTATCTGAGAAAGTACAGAGCTATGAAGCAGCGCTACTACAAGGATGACAATGAGTGATCTGTAGCATTGTTGAGTATTCACATGTAATAATACAGGCTCAAGTAATTAGGATGAATGAATAAAACAGAATGATTCTCTCAAAGGCAATGAAATGCAAGCCATCTGAAATACATGGGTGTATCACATCTATAACTATTTCACTGCACTTCAAGGGGTTACCTGGATGATTTGGCTATCAGGAGTATAAGGGCCATGCAGGTGTAATTTTATACCGACAGCTCAGAGGGTTACTTAGTCCTAGTCCTCCCTGAACTGAAGCTCAATTTGTAAAAAAAAAAGAGCTCTTGTAGAAAGTGCTTTTAGTGCGAGTCTCTTCCTTTCTCCACATGAAACTAACTGAACAGAGAGCTCTTCATAGATTTAAAACTGAAAAAATACAAGTTTTTAATATTGACCTAGATTTCATTTGCTCTTTAAGAGGCGTTGAATTTTTTTTTTTTTTTTTTTTTTTTGGAAGTTATGCAAAACCTGCATGTCCTGGTCAAATGGAGGTTGAAAGTCAAAATCATTAAAAAAAATGTTTGAGAATGACTTCCCTGTGTGGGTGTCCTCCTGGCAATGTGTTGGGTATTTTGGCTTGTTTGGATGCAGTCACTATGTGCATGGAAAGGGACAATTATTTAGAGAAACACTGGCTAAATGTTAGATGCATAAGGTGCGTTTTTGTGATCCTGGTTTGCTGTCTGTATTTTTGAGAATTCTGCTCTGTTGGTGCCAAGTACAGGCAATCCCCACTTAATACTGTTTTGCTTAGCACTATAACGCTCATTTTGAATTGATACCTGATTTCACTAAGCGCTCAACAAGTTTTGTTATAATACTCACAGTCACCATCTTGGGTTGTCAAATACTTTTGGTTTTGC